CACCAGGGCTCCTAATGGCACCAGCAAGTTAGTCACTAAAAATATGTAAGTCTCTTGTCAAGTCAAGTTGAATCAATATGTAATTTTTGCCAAGTCAAGACACTGAAGTGAATTCAGTCCAATTTAAGTCCAAGTCAATTGACTAGTGTCTACATCAGCACCTAGCAGAACCCCCTTCTGTTTTCACCTGTTTATCCTGCGTCGTGTGGTCATGTTGGGCAATTCTGTGGGTTCATCATGGCCACTGGCATTATCCTCGTAATGGGTTGGCCCATTCGTCATGTGGGAGAGGCTGACACTTGAGGGGTGCTGGGAACCCACAAGGCCATTCATCAAAGTCTTGCTCTCCAGTTCTGGTGAAGTCGCAGCAGCCAAGACATGATGGTCAGGGGCACTGCCATACAATGCCTCGGTGCTCTGTCAGAAAGGAAAAATCATATATGCCTCAGAAATCCTACTACCATTCATGGTTGTCTTCACACATTACATAAATATCAAAACATCCTTTAACCAAAGATCAAGCTGGTAATTTCATATCAATGTGAAATCCACTGTTTTACTCATCTCTTAAGCCTGGGTGGTGTTTGTGGCACACTGACATTTTCAGACTACAGGTATTTTTAGACAACAGCTCTCATAATCCTTCACCATTGACTATGCTGGTGAGGTCTCATGGGAGTTGCAGGCAGAAAAATATGGAGGGCCCCTCCCCAATTTGAACTTCTTTCTCCTCAAATTCCCATTCAAAGAGTTTTCTTTCCATTGTAAGGCTCCTCCTTTTGTCCTTCTCTTCCTTTCATTATATTTGCCGAGAGCCAGCATGGCATAGTGGTTTGGACGTTGGAGTAGAATAATAGAATCATAGTTGGAAGAGACTTCAAGGGCCATCCATTCCAACACCTGCCATGCAGGAACACACAATTAAAGCACCTTGACAGATGGCCATCCAGCTTGTTTAGAAAACTTCAAAGAAGGAGACTCCACCATACTCTGGGGCTGTGTGTTTCTCTGTCAAACAGCTCTTACCATCAGAAAGTTCTTACTAATGTTTAGATGTTTAATCTTTTCCTGTAGTAGTAATAATACTCTGGAGACCAGGGTTTCAATCCTGGCTCAGCCATGGAAACCCACATCACACTCTCTCAGCCCCAGAGGAAGGCAAAGACAACCCCCCTCTGAATGAACCTTGCCCAGAAAACCCCATGGTAGGGTCACCATGAGTCAGTAACAACATGAAAGCACACAATAACAACATTCTCCAAAGGGGAACAGACCTTACTGGGATTTCTGGTATAAACATTTTTAGTCTTGATTTTATGGCTGAGATGCTAAGGTTTAGAATAATGTCACCCTCCATCTATAGAGATTCATGGCCAATGGTGTCAACTTTGTATTTGTAATGAAAATTAAATCTGTGTGTGATTCTACTACTTTTCTCTCTCTTCAGTCTCTTCATCATCTAACCCTCCTTACTTGGGTCTGATGCTTTTTCAGCTCTCCACCTCTTTCTGCAAATTCATCTGCTTTCATCAAACCAGAGGAGGGGCAGGAGGAATACTTTTGCCTGTCTTGATTTCTCTATGATAGTAGGACAGTAAACTGCATGACCAGGTTCACCTTCTTGCATTACAATGTATGTTTTCCTTACACAATATAGATCTGGTGTGCATATATTTTTCTTGGATTTAGCAGCTGCACTGTAGCAGCACAAGAGCAGATCCCATGTAGCAATGAGCTCAGTGTAAGAAAAAGTAACACATAAAGGGATCCTCTGATTATAAGAACAGACACAGAAATCTTCTATCAAAGAACGAAACCAGAACCTTCCTTCTTCTCTTAGATGTGATTTCAAACTAATCATAGAATTGGTTTGTAATGCTAAGATCCAGCACTGGGAATTATTCAAGTGGTGAATCTGAGCATGTGCAAAGTGACTTTACTCACTAAAAATTAGCACTACCCTAGATTCCAAAGGTGTGTACACAGATGGGAAGAAGGCTTTTAAATCTGAGGGCATACACCGAGTCATTGCATCTCTTCACTTAGCAATAACCCACCCACAGGCTACTACAAGTCAAAAGTCATCCTTCCAGTATTTGGGGGTCTGCATTGGGCTAGGCAAGGAACTTTCAGTGAGGAGGAATGTGTACCAACCAAAATAATTCACTCATGCTCTCTCTGACTTTCTTGCGAGAATGATGGCATGGCAACTCCTGGTGAGCCCCAACAAGGTGAGATATTTGCAGTCAAGCTAGAAACCAGACAAGCTAGAAATACAATTCTTATTTCCTCCCCCAAATATTTCACAGTCTTCCAGTTTCTTCTTTTCTACAATGCAAAGCAACATATTGTAGACACATCTGCTCTCCCAGAAACTTGGTTACAGTCTTTTCCAATTTGAGCACAGAACAACGGGTGTGGAAAAGCAGAGAGAACTGGCTAGTAGAGATGTATTTAATTTGCATTAAGCACAAAGTCTTCTAGGAAGAAAAGGTAAGAAACAGAAAACAAGCTTTAGCTTTAAAATAATATGCTCTCCACCAAATTGTATGCAATATTATCCTACAAATTATTTTCAGATTTGACCATTGCATCTCAAAGCACAATTATAACACACTCCTTTTCTGGGTGACCTGAACTCGTGCCGAGTACCTTAACTTTCTAAAAGAAGTTAGGTGGCTCAGGAAAGTGAATCAAACCACAGAGCAGATTAGAATCTATCCTTTCACCCCAGTCACAGAAAAATTATTTCTTGGTTGGAGATTTCATAACTGATTTGGTTGTTAGTTTGAAACAAAATCCATGCCTTCAAATTCCATAGACAGTATTTTAGCTTACTAAATACAATCAAAGATTAGTGATGCCCCACTGTAATATCACATTTCCAACTGCAAGACAAGAAAACAACTTGGCTTCATTGAAATGTTAAATTTGTTTCTGAGGGAAATCACATAACTGGTTGCCCTTCCATACACAAATATTCCCTACAAACAGAAAATTAATGTGTCTCTGGAATAGGAGTTGTAGTTTATAAAATTCCCTATCATAAATTCTCTTGCCAAAGGGAATATTTCTACACATAGGAGCATTCAGCCACATGACTTTGCAACTCCAAATTGGTACAGTCCCCTCAATGCACAATTACTTCCTGAGGGAATGCTAGGTCAAAGGCTTACCTTGTAGGTCACAGTCTCCTCATCCTCACACACCGTTTCCCCATTTTCCTCCTCCTCTCCTTCTTCCAAGTCACAGGACATTGCCCGACGGATCTCAGGTCCCAAGTCTTGCAAACTTTTCAACCCAGCCTGAATGGGACAGAGGCACAAGGACAATAGGATCAGAGCTGGCTCAGAATCCATGTTGCATTCCTTGTTCATGAGACCAGCTGACACAGAAACCCATACATACAACAAGGAGAGACTCACCTGCAAGGCAGTAGAATTGCAGGGGGGACCATCTGGTCCCAGCATCCCCTTCTCCTTCCGTTTACGGAATTTACGGAAATAATCCTGGATCAAAAATGTGGCGTAGAATTTCCCAACAGTGACTTCCTCCTCTGTCAAAGGAAGGTTTAAGCACATGCTGGTTAAGAAACATGGTTTATTTTGAAACAACCATGCTTCCATGAGCCCCATACAACCAGCAAGGCTGATTTTTAAAAGTCAAAGAGGCCTGCTGAGGCAGATTAGGAGTTTATCACACAGAAACCATATGTACCTCCATCCTGATAATGATTAAAGCGGCCACAACCCACAAAAGTGTGCAATGCACAAATGATTTTCATATGCAAAACACAATAACACGTTAGCTCATTACTAAAGCGAGAAAGAGAGTAGAACGCGCATTTGGTTTTCACACAGTTGTGTGTAAATCCCGATAATGGTTTGGGAATCACTCTTTTTCCACGTGTGTACAGAAGTAGTAATTGTGGCACCTGAAATCACCCAGAGAAATAAATAATTTTATTTGCACAATTTTCTTTATAAAAAGATATGTACTGTCCCTTGC